GATAAAATTGAGTAAGCAGTGCAGCAGACAGGGCCCAAATATTAATCCCACTATAAGTAGAAGTAAGGGTCTGGCCAACGCTGTCAGGAGGGTTGTCAGCCATGGTGACCAGGAGAAGAGATTTTCATACCAGTTTCCTGCGGCCTTTCGAGCCTGCTCCCTATCAGCTAGTCGTTTCCTTAGCTGGCTTAGACTTTCTCTAATCACTCCCAAGTGATTAGTGTAGAAACAGCAAGCCTCCCCTAGGGCGAGGCAGAGCCCTCCTTGCTTCAGGAATAGCAGATCTAGGCCCCTCCTATTTTGTAGTACCACCTCAGCGAGGGATCCTAGTGATTCCTCCAGCTGTCCTGTGGACTTCTCTAAGGTGCTCAGATCCTGATCGATCTGGCGGCCCAGCTCTGGGTAGTTCTGGTCCCCCTTGATGAAGGCTGCTGTTCCCACAGCTGTGGATCCTGCTAAAACCAGCCCTACTAGGAGGGGAACAAGTATTGGGGCCCTCTTGACCCGCCTTGGCTCTATCAGGAGATGCTCCCGCCCCCCCCCCTCCCCCTTCTCCAGAGTAATAATATACCTAGGGTAAAATAAGGGTCAGTACACATAGAGATGGGCTCCCCCAGACTTGCATAGTCAAAGAGAGAACACACGGGGTGATTCCTATGGTACATGCCCACCAAGTCCTATTTGGGGCTACCAGGTACCAGAGGACCCCCGCTCCCGGCTCTCCTCTTAATCTTAGGGTCTGGTTACAATTGTCCTGATAAGGGGAGTCTTTTAGTGAGTAGTTAGCCGAAGCTACACACAGCCCTGTGCCAGAGATGTCCCCTAGGGTGAGCCCCCTCCTTCTGCTGTTCAGTCTCTCGATGAGCCTCTTTCACAGTCCTTTGGGCTATTGTGGCGGCTTGCTGGAGTGCCTGCAAAGACTTAAGCAAATTACGGGTAGAAAGATGGGTGACCTCCTCCTCCCCCAACCTGGGCACCAGTGGTGGCGGTTGCCCAAACATTATCTCAAAAGGAGTTAGCCCTTGGATGTATGGGGTGCACCTAGCTCTGAGGAGAGCAAAAGGAAGGAGACTTACCCAGTTTTCGCCAGTCTCTAATTTTAACTTAGTTAATGTTTCCTTTAAGGTCTGATTCATCCTCTCTACCTGTCCAGAACTCTGTGGTCTATAAACACAATGCAATTTCCAAGTAACCCTCGGAGCCTTAACTATGGATTGTGTAACTTTGGCGATAAACGCTGGGCCATTGTCGGACCCCATGTATAGTGGCAGGCCAAACCAGGGGACAATTTCAGTGAGGAGTTTCCTAACTACTACCTGTGCTGTCTCTGCCTTGGTTGGGTATGCCTCCGGCCAGCCAGAGAAGGTATCAATGAAAACCAGCAGGTACTTATATCCTCCTCGTCCTCCTGGTATCTCAGTGAAGTCCACTTCCCAGTGTTCTCCGGGGTTCTGACCTCAGAACTGCTGCCCCGGCACGTCCACAACAGGGGGCCCTTGGTTCACCTGGGGACACACTTGGCACCTTCTAGCCAACTCTTGAGATAGTTTCTGGAGCCATGGGATGTAAAATTCTCTTCCCAGTAGTTCTGATAGCTTCGTTCCCCCCAGGTGGGTGCTCTGGTAGGTCTGGGAAGTGATAGTCCGCCCCAGGGCTTTTGGCACTATAGGCCTCCCATCTGGCAGAATTAGCCATCTAGCCTCTCCTTCCCGGGCCCTTAGTTTCTCAGCTAGCCTCTTCTCCTCCGGCAGATGAGTAGGCTTCTCTGGGAGCCTTCATGCTGGCAGGGCTATGAGAACTTCTAGGGGCCCTACTGGTCTTTTAGCCACTTCCTTGGCCCCTATATGGCTGCCAGGTGGTTAAGTATCTGAGGAGCTTTTTTCCTTTCCTCCTGAGGTCAGGAGACTTCTTTAAGGTGGCTCCCATGTCCTCCTGTAAGGGCAGTGTGAGAAGATATACCCCTGCATTCCCTGGGTAGGTCAGGCAGGGCGAGTGCCGGGGCACTCACCAGGGCTTCTTTCTAATCCTGGCAGATTGTAGATCTCCTCTGGCTCCTCCTCATGTCACTACTGCCGCCCCCGCATACCGGGTACCTTCCTCTATGAAGCTGCTCTCGTCCGTGTAGAGGGTCTCATCCGGATTCTGCAGGGGCTGGTCCACAAGGTCCTCGCGGAGGGAAGTGAGGGTAGTCAGGGTCTCCTCGCAGTCATGCAAAGGGGCCTCTGCCTCCTCGTCAGGGAGGAGTGTGGCAGGGTTCAAGGCAGCTGTTTTCAGGAAGCTGAAATGCTCACTCTTTTTTTTTCCTTTCCCCACCAGAGGGCCTGAGTGAGTGCTATAAGTTCTACAAGGAAGTCCACCTTTTGGCCCCCCACTGTCAGAGTTATCCTGGGCTCACCGGGCCAGCTGAGCCCTGACAACCCTAATCCACCTCCTCCACCAGCACGGGAGTTGGTTCCCCCCGCACGTTCAGGGCACTCTCTTTTTCCAATGTCCTTCCTTTCTGCAAAATGCATACTGATTTTTCCCAAGCTGGGGTTGGACTCCTTTTCTCCCGCAAGACTTTCCTTTGTCCTTATTGTTTCTCCGGCCCCTTGGGCCTTTTTCCTCGTTTATGGCCAGGAGAACCTTTGCCATCCAGGTGTTTAAACCTGCTGTCGGGTCCTCCTGATTGTTAAAAACCTTCTGGGCCACCTCAACCAACTCAAAGATTGATTTCCCCTCAAAGCCCTCTAACTTCTGCAATTTTTTCCTAATATTTGGGGCCGACTGGGAAACAAATGCAACATTGACAGCCCTCCAATTTTCTGGGGCATCAGGGTTTGGCCCCTGGACTGTCTCTGTCACTTTAGAGAGGTTTGTGGGTCTCTGAGCAGCAGCTCGGATGCCCCCTAATAGAGTCTGGCGATACCGATCGAGAGCCTCCTTTCCCCTGTCACTATTGGGGTTCCAGTCGGGTCGCCTAGAGGGAAACACAGCCTCTTATCTGTATGTAGGCTGTCTATCCGGACCCAGAACAAGTTTCCTCCCTTCCGCCCTGACCCTCTCTCTCTCTTCTGAAGTGAAAAGGGTTTGTAGCAGCTGCTGGCAATCATTAAAAAAACGGACTCCAAAAGAGAGATTAACCCCTGTGGGCTCTGGGAGTAAGAAGGACCCTGGCCCCTCCACTGTACAGGCCACTGGTAGAAAAGGGGACACAGACCACAAAGGGCTGCCGTCTGGACCCGTAGGGCCTGCCTACCGTAGTGGCAACATAGGAACTGCTGGACTGGCGGATGTCACAGGGTTCCTCAGGTTCTCCCCCTCCCTCTCTCTCTGTCTCCATACGCTGTCCTTTGCCTAGTGTGAGGAGGGAAGAATGGAGCCGGGTCCTGGACTGGTGTTTCCGGAGGAAAGGAAACAGGTTGTGGAGGAGGCAGGGGCTCCGGATCGGGGTCATTTGCCACCGTGGGACCGGTGGGTGGAGGAGCATACGGGGGAGGCCTGACCCCGGGGAGTGCCTCCTCACCCGGAACTTGGAGAACAGGGGGAGTTTTGCCCTTCTGGGCCGAAGCCAAGAGGACTATCTGTCTCTGTCCCAATTTCTTTTCCTCATTCTGGCAGCTCTTTAACCACCTTGGTTTTTCAGTCAAAATATCAACCCACACTTGAATATAGGGAATTTGGTCGGGATGACCCGGCCGGCTGTAGACAACATGGTGAACCTGATAAGTAGTGGTTAAATCATAAGTCCCTGTGTCCGGCCATCCCACCTGGAAAGTGGGCCACTCCCATTCAGAGAATTTCTGCAAATCAAGAGCATTAACATTATAACCTTTAAATCTACCCTAGAACTTTAATTTAATACAGTAAATTTACAACCTAGGTAAGAGCAACTGATAGACAGAAATCTTTATTAGCTAAGTGGGCTGATTCCCCTTTAATAGTGAGCAAAAGACTCTGAGAAAAATAACTCTTGCAGCTGCAAGAGACTTTTGCAGGCCATTACAGGTCCAGCTCAAACGTTCAGCCAAGCGTATCAACAGAAAAGCAGAATAAATCAAAGTAGCTTTCACTTCACACAGACCAGTAATGAGCAGCCAAGGCAGACAAACACCCGTAGTGTACACTCTCTTAGTAGACTAGCCCAGGCTGGAGCTGTATCCAGTCCCCCTTCTCTGTAGTAAATTGGCTAGTCCCACACAAACAAACTTTGTCCCAACCCCATGATGATCGGTGGTGAGAGACAGACAAGGGAGGGGGTGACCTGTTTTCACAGATCCTCATGCAGATGCCCGCCTGGCCACGTCCCTTGGAAGCTTAGATTCGTCTTAGCTAAGGTGCACCCGTATAAACGCCGGGCCTGGTCACCTCCATGTGGGGGTGAGTCACTGTTATGCAATATGACGAATTGTGGAACCGCAGGTTGGGGCCCACTCGGACTCTGTAACCGAAGTTGTGGAGCCACACAAAGGAGAGGAGAGGGCATGCGCCCTCCCTCCACACTCACACACTTTCACCAGACATTCACTCAGAGTTTAAACAATTCACCCAATTCCTAACAATTTCCCAATTCCTGAGGGAGCTCTATAGCTTCCCAGGAGGTGATCAAGCTCCCCTTCTACTTACCCGGAGTGGGCCTGATTGATAGGGGGTCGACAAAGATGACTGACCCTATCCCATTTTGACAAAGACAAAGACAACAAAGAACAAAGACAAAACAAACCAGACAAACGCAACCTAAGGTTGCCCAGAACCTGCAGCTCGCTCCTTGAAGTCATGAAAAATTTTCAAAAAACATTGCAGCAGGGTGCACACAGAAGCAGATGACTTTTTGACAACAAACACCAAGATAAACAAACACCAGACAGACAAACCCGGTGCAGCCTACAGCCGCACGAACCAGGGACCCTGGCCACTGTTGTGGCCGTGGGTCAGAACCAGGAGTACCGCTGCGTCCAGCCCTCCGTATAGGTCCTTCCGTGGGACGTCCCAATTTCAGTTTAATGACCGGTCTTCCTTACCTCTCTCGAGAGTCCAGGTGGCTCGGTTTCCGAATCAAAAGTTTTGGGTGGAGTCTCCTCCGCCTCCCTGGGACCCAGGACTGGAGGCCTCCTTGGTAGTCATTCCCCACAGGTGTGGGGTATCTCGCTGCGTGCCCAGCGATAAATGGGGGAGAGCCTCCTGCCTTAAATAGGGGGTCTCTCTCACCCCTGCCGGGGGAGAGCCTCCTGCCCTAAATAAGGGGTCCCTTTCACCCCTGCCAGGGATCTCGCTGTGGGCCTCCAAATGTTATGGGTTCACTCAGCGAGATAGACCACCGACTCAGAATTTAAAGTTAAGAGCCTTTGTTAAGCTGGCCAGCTGACTACAGCGCATCCCTCCCCTCTGGGAGCCTCGCAGCTTGTAGTGCAGACCAAGGGTCCTGCAAGGCTTTTTATTGGGGAGAACTACAAAGCATTAACTGGCAGGGTAAAAGTTCAGTAGGAAAACAGGGTCACACCTGGCTGGAGTGTTTCCACAACCCATTCTTTGAGAAACAGGTGTAACGCTTGGCTGGAGCGTGTCCGGGTCCCCGAAGTACAGATTGACATCAAGATACATAGAGTACAAACAAGTTACAGAATTTTCTTTACGTCAGTTAAAGGTTACATATCTATACCCATTTCACTATATGACGCTAAGCGTACATGCCCATCACAATAACACTACCTCTGGTATTCATTTATAAAGGCGTAAGATTTTAAAATTAGTACCCATAAACAGACCAATGCAGAACTGTACAAAAATATTTGAATATTGGGAAATAGAGAAGAGGTAAAATAGAAATGAATATCTTCTCTTAAAAAACAACAACAACCTTCCTTTTTTCTTCATATTCACATTTTACTTTATATGCTTACAAATTGAGGTTTATTTTTAAAACTACTCATTTGCAGTGAGTTCATTATCTTTGATGTCATCTACAATGAATGTAGAAGAGATTAGAGAGCGATTAACATATTTAAAGAACCAGACTCATGAACAATGACATCATTATGAAGGCCTTGTTTTCATTCCTGTGCCATTAACAAGAAAGACATGACGGGTGAGTATTCTTCAGAACCAGGTTCACAGTGGATAGGAAGGGCCTCCTCCCAGCGAGGAGAACTGAAGTCACAGGCTCCAGCCTCCATCGATGATGACAGGGTTACCTGTTACGTAGGCAGACTGCAGGGATGAGCACAAGGAGACAGAACAATTAACTAGGTTTCACACAGGGTGTTTTTCCAATTCATCTATGACTGACATAGCTAAACAATTTACTCTCATAGTAAAGGGAGCACTCAACAAAGAGAATTCACGAAAATCTGAATTAAATTTTGGATGATTTAAAATAGTTGTGTTCTTGTGGTCTGGCCTCTGGCTGGTGTTGCAGCATATGTCACATTCTAAGCAAGTCTATGAGGTGTTTGGTTTCACAATCAGAAAATTAAGACGTTAGGTGGCAGCCCCAGCTGGTGTTTCTCAGTGGTTAGAGTGTTGGCCCAAGCAACGAAGGATTAAGGGTTTGAATCCCAGTCAAGAGTTACGGATTAGATCCCCGGCTCCAGTCAGAGGCATGTGCGGGAGGCAATCAACCAATATATCTCTCTCACATTGATGTCTGTCTGTCTGTCTCTTTCTCTCTCCCATTTCCCTCTCTCCTTTCCACTCTCTCTAAAATTCAATGGGAAAAATACACTTGGGTGAGGATTAACAAAAACCAAAGTTAGGTGACATATAGTCATTCCCGAAATTAGGATAAAGTCTAGGCTACAACATTACATTTGCATTTCGAAACTCAGAACTACTCTAAATGAGCTGAATTTTGTGCCATTGATAAATTCTGAATATAATCAGGTGTGTCGGTCATAAAGTGGTCATGTCAATTATCAAACAAAAATTTTTTAAAAAGATATTGTATATACTAGTATAGTTGATCAATATATAAAGGCAATTCCAGGAACTGAAGCAGACTACATATATTTGAAAAATTTGAATGAAGATACTGTAATTATTATTATAATCTATTAAACTATGAAATAATTTGATGCTTATTTTAGATACAAATCAGTGCTAAAGGAGTTAAAACAAATAACATTTTTTTTCCCACAGAATTTCTCATTTTCCAAATTATGAAAGGTAAAATGATTTCTTGTGGTAGAGGTTTAAAAAATCTCTTTTAACTTAAACATGGATAATAAAGATTAAAATCTGTGTTCTTAGTTTTAAATTTTCCTAAAGCCTAAGACAATGGAAGAGGGAAGAGGGAAGAAGAAAAAACACAAGTACAGAAATCTTTAAAGTTTATTCTATGAAAACTGATCATATAATGTAGATAAACTAGGAGGGATACTAATCACTTTACCAAAAAATGACATCCCCCCCTTCCCAAGTATTTTTATAAGGTAAGCTCTCTGTTACACCTATGTACTCCTCTGGGCCCCTTTAAAAGGCTAAAGGTACTTTTGTTGCACATTTCAAGCCAGAACATTTCCAAATATGTAATAAGCTAAACTCTGGATAAACAAAGGCAACTTAACTAATCGGCTGTGCTCCCAAGTCAAATGGGCTCTTCCAAAGACGCGCATTCAGAGACAGCACAAAGGCCAACATACTTGCTTCATTAGTATTTTGTCTAGCAAGTTCCCCAGCTATTAACTGTTGTTAATAGTTCTAAGAAGTAGTAACTGCTCTGTCACCAAAACACTTCAAATCCTGTATTGGTCATATTCACCAAGCACTGGTGTGCCACACCAAGTTCCTGTGAAGAGGAACTAAGTGATGAGTAACACACCTCCTCACTCCTGCCTATGCACTTCCCTATCCTTGTCTCTTTTCATACATTGTGGTGCCCTGGTCATGTAACATTCAAAGCCACAAAGCAGAGAGGGATGTTCTTGTGCTCTACACCTTATAAATACAGTTCCTGCTTTTGCAGTAGGATGCCATTTAAAAACAGACAATAGCTGTTAAAGAAGAAACTGGTTCCTAAGTAGGTGCGAAGTGGAAAGAGACAGAATTAGGAATTTGCATACATGATGGCAAGTATGATTTCATAGGGAAAAAGAGCCAGGGGGAGTCTGCTAAATAAAGGCACCGGTAAAACTAAAAACACCAATTCTGTGCTTGCCACATACAATTAAATCTGATGAATCTTCTCCCTGCTTCACCTGAAGCGCTCAGAATTTTGGAGGCTCATTTGCTTGACTCACACTTAAACAGGGGTTTCCCCAACTGCAATTTTTGAAAGCAACTGTCTCTGTAAAAGTTGAGTGATTTTTTTCACTCCTCTATTTCATTTACTACAAGATTTAGTAACATGTAAAGCTGAATGAGGAAAAGTCGGCGGCTCAAATCAAAGTGGCCTTTCTTTGAGCAAAGGAAATCAGAACAGATCCCTATCTAGTAACCGCAGCATCTTAGCATGTTTATGTCCATTACTCTCTAAGACAACATTTTTTTTTTTTAGCAAATATTGGCCAAATATGATTAAGATAATGAACCCCCTGCAAAGAGCAGTGCTTACTTCATCGGAAGCCAAATACACGCACAGCAGGGCTATTTCTTCTGCAGTTGCAAACCTTCCAGTCTTCTGTCTCTTCAGAAAATCGCTCAGTGCCTGTGACCAGAAAACAAGCCAGACATCAGTGACCGAAGCTGAAGTATGAACTCACCTGAAATTCCTCCTGGGAATCAAACGCAAGCTGAATCTACAGACGTACCACTGGCTTTTAGGCTTAATCATGTATGATGCATAGTATCTGAGAATATTAATATCATTAATTGTGGACTAAGCAAACCAAGCAGGGCTATGGTGACTTCCTAGCTATTCAAACTATTTTGTTACACTATAGACACTGTGACAAATCAGAAAGTTCATAGTAAAGAAGGGAGCTTTTCTGAAGTTGTAGTAAAATACACTTAGTGGGATATTTGCCATCTTCACCATTACAGTTCAGTAGTGTTAAGGACATTCACACTGTTGTGCAACCCATCTCCAGAGCTCTTTTCATCTTGCAGGACTGAAACTCCGTACCCAGTAAACAACTCCCCATTCCCATGCCCTCAGCGCCCCGGCCACCACCATTCTACTTTCGGCTTCTATGAATTTTCTACTCTAGGTAAGGAAGAGGGCATTTTCTAACCGGAAGATTTAAACACATTCAGGAGAGTAGATATACCTCTTCAGGATTTGGTCGGGCTTGTATTCTTTCTTGCAGAGATGGGGTATCGACAGTTCCTAAATCAAACAGGGACATTCAGCTTGGTTAGTTACTTTAACTGAAAAAAGAAATTGACACTTAAACTCCCTTCCCATATGATAGGACAATCAGTGAAAGCCTTCTCCATGACTTAGAATGACAATTTCACGTCTACCTGCCAGCCCTTCTATGAGGTAGGCTTATAACTTCTTTAGTAACATTTCTATGACTTTCTAAAACACAGACTATAGTTCTTTGTGACACTAGGCAGGGACTCTGGGTGAATCACCCAGCATTCCCAAGATATAGATTTTAGTCACATTATGTTAACATGACCCTTTATGGATTTTAAGCACTTTTACATGTATTATCTCAGTTAATCCTCACAACCATCCTGAGATGTGGATACAATCATTGAAGTGCTTTCCCAGCACAAGGATCCAGACTGCCTGAATGCCCTCAAACCATCCCTGCTGTCAGGTTCCTCGGGGGACCCCGGGGCCAAGTCTGTGACTGTCATCGTCCCAGTAACTTAGGTGGTTCTACATTTTCCTCGTTATCTTGCCTATTTTCATTGGATTCAAATTCCTATTTTTAAGCACTCTCATAAAAAATGTAATTTGAAATTATTTCGCTTAAAAAAATGAATGACACTAAAGTTTTAAATCCCACTTAGAGCACGTTTCCAGACTTTTCGTTCACTCACATAGTCTGGCAGTTCTCTCGAGAGGTCTGTTTTTTCTTCTTCTGACTGAGAGTACTCCGGGGACCACATGACCTTCTTAAGGTCATAAATGACTTCACAGTCCTATCTGCAGCTTCATCTTTAGACCATGCTCCTAGGAATGCCATAGATTTGATGTTTGCTTGGAAACCATTTCTTAATTTTGGCATTATTTGGCATTTCTCTGGAGAGGCTGGGAATCTTCAGAGTAGCAAATCCTGGCTCATTTTTTTGTGGAACAGCCCTTTCTTTAGCTCCTCTAGTCTATCCTCACATTTTACTGTAAGTGGGCAGCACTTTTGAACATTCCAGGTGGAAATAGCCTTTGCTAGATCACCCAGTTCATTAGGGATGTTTTCTACCTCACGTTACTGCAGGGAATAGTGTTGATAAACTTTCTGAACCACATAGCTTCCAGTTTCCAATAGTGTTTCCCTCACCCCCCTCATCAACAGCCTCCTCACAGTACAGCATTCTACCAACAGTGTGCTCAAGGCCCCTAACACGTTCACTGTACACTCGCTTCAAAATCCTTACAGCTGTAGCCATTTCCCTCCACCGAGGCAAATGAGCGTCAGGCCCTACACGTGGCTGGTCTGAATGGCTATTACCTGAAAACTGTGGAGCAAGCCTATGCCTTCCACTTCATTCACTGCCACTGGACTCTGCTGTGCCCATGGCACAGACCACCACCCACGCCACAGTCTATACAAGTCCGCAGCTGAAGTGCTGTGACTATACAACCACCAGTGTCACCCCAGACACAACCATTCCTAGTCAGGTTTTCTC